ACGTGACTGACAGTAACCACCTAACCTTTGTTCTCTGCTAAAAGCTTGATGGACTTCCTTAATGTTTATAATGTTACAATGCATTAGGCCTCTATGAATTGCTTACCTCCTCATTCTGATATGGGTACCAAGGCTGAKGTTTCTTCTCAAGGAAGGAAGAAACTTCTAAAACATCTTGTCAGCTCTACCCAAAAGAACTACAGAGCTCTTCAGTTCCAACAGTACTGATCCCATGACCCTAGAGCCACTACTTATGGATTTCTCCTTGAAGAAAGTACTGCCATGACACAGCACCTGAATGGGGCAGCTTTAGAACAACTCTAACATTTCTCAGTAGCTACAACCCTGTTTGTTAYGAATCAAAACCATTTTACTTATCCTAATGTCAGAATTATCTTCTGACACAAAATCCACAGAACTTGCTACAACAACTATAAGGAATTAATTGACCTTACCAACTTAATGCCTTCCTTATAAAAAATTTGAACAAAATAGCATTGCTTGTGCAAAGTCCAGACAGCCCTCAGTAGGAGGTCAAACGAATCAGCTTATAAAGACCAGCTTATCAAGTATGTGCCAATATACTGTGGACACCTTATCCTGAAAATGTTTTAATGGCTGCACGCCAGTCCTACTTCAAAGAAAGCTRCCATGCAAGTCATAACTAAGTCCTCCTTCTAATCACAAACATGCAAATTCCTAACTCGTGGAAATGTGTATTCAGAATTTAAGGGGCAAGGCGGGCAGACAAAAAGAAAAAAAAAACCAACAAACCCATACATGACTTATTTTCTGCCAAGGGCAAAAACACCAGGCATTCTCAAAAGGGCTGAGATGACTCGGAACATTTAGAGGAGGATGTGCTGGGCATATTCAGCAAAAATCYACTAAGAACTCAGAAGTCAGAGAGCTTCCACAACAATGATAATAGCTGCGTTGAAAAACAATTATCAGAGCAACTATGGAGGGAAAACTGCATATACATAAACAAATAGGACCGGACAGAAGAAAATAGTTGGCAGAATATCAGTATCTTCAGATTCAAATTGGGAAATACATTTTCCTCATTTTCCTCATTCCTTAATTTTCCTCATTTCTCTCAAGCTGTTAGTAACCTGTAATGTATTTTGCATCTTTGCAGTATTGCTCTTAAATTAATTACGATTTATCAAATGCCTTAAGTACATATTCTAATATCACATAACTCATTCCAAAGCAAAGTTAGTGGGTAGTGAATATTAGTGGGTAATTTTGCTATCACTGTAACTAAGATCCAGGAGAAAGAAAATAAAACAAAACCAAGAAGAAAGGCTTTTCTGTAACTATAAGAAACAATAGTGAGGTTTTGTCTCCATACTTCTTTGAAGGTCATCGTAACAGGCTATAACAAAGGCATTGTTATCACCTAGGTTAAAATCTGATGACTTGTAAATAAAGATCACAACTGCTTAAATCTGAGCTGAAGTACTTAAGCAGGGAAAAAGTATACATCCACCATCTGGTGCACAGTAATTACAGAAATTAAAACCACATTTCTGCGGCCTGCCTTTAACAATTTTTACTGATACTGTAATACTTGATCTTCTTAGGGAGCATAATCTAAACTCATGCTGTTAAATGATCATAAGACTATCCAGTGCATGGCATAAGCAGTTCATTAAGCTGGAATCTTTAAAAACACTTGCTCCCCAGCACTAACGGAAACAGTTTCCGTAGGTTCACATCACGCAGTTCCATTTAATCCACAGTCAAGGCAAGTTAATTTCACACCTGCTGAGCGATATCGTGATGGATGGCACCACAGCAGGTCATTAATTTTGTTTCCTTTTGATTAATTTCACACCACACACTGGACACAGTCTTTGGAGCTACGATGTCTAAGTGCAGGGCTTAGTGCCTGCAAAGGGCTAAATCAGGTTTTGACTTCTTGCCAAAAGGCAAAGAACCCAGATGAGATGCAAGTGAAAGGGAGCTTCACTAGGCTTGGCACTGAGCTCTGTCACAGCTACAGGTGTGGCAGGGCACTCTCACCCAGCAGTACATTTTAAGAGTGTTGCTCTCGAGTATAGCCATTGAAGCAGAAATTCTGGTTATAACCTATTTACAATAAAGTCAGGTTAGCTTCATTGGCCACAGAAACCCTTCCAATATTTACTTACGGGTGATATACCCAACAAGGTATAAAGATTTACTGAGACTACTATATTTCCTGATTTTAAAAAAAAAAAGTAAATAAAAAAATCAAGATTTCACAGGATGAAAGAAGTAGAAGGAAAAGTAAACATTCATAGATGACAACAGCAGCCACTGTTGGCACCAGAGCAGAAGGGGAAGCTGTGGGTCATTTTGTCCCTCTGTAGTCAGTGAAGACATCTGGGGTCCTCAGAGGCCTCTGGACCCACAGGAGAGTGTCCAGGCACAGCAGAGGGCTGGGCTGAGCCAACAGCTCCCAGCTGAGGAACAGCCTAATCTCACTGCACTTATCCCACTGCTCCAATTCACTCAGTCTCACACCCCGCTTTGTGCTACATGTGCCAAATCAACAGATCCCTCGATGAGCTGATTCAGATCATGGAAACAAAAGAAGCCTTTTTCTTACATCAGCTTTCTGCTTGTTTCACAGACCAAGCTGTCTAACAGATGGCTCAGGTGCGTATCAGAGCTTGTGAAAATGAAAAGGAGAAATTGTGTCCTTTGGTAGCAAAGAGATGTTTAGCTTAGCCCTTCTCCCCCTTTAAGGAAGTAATTCAAAGCAGCAGCCCCAAAAGCTCATCCTGTCTATTGACTATGGAAGAAATTCCTAAACTCAAATCAGGATGTGTTTTCATGTCATTTTTCCCCCTTTCTCTGTGCACCCCAATATTCTACAGCACAAGCAGTATTGGAAAACCATTACTGCTTGTAAGTCATTCAAAGATTTCTCTCTTTGTTCTTACTTCAAAATAGTGCTTTACAACACAATATGAGCAAATTTTTAGTCTCTTTCTGATCATGAAGAATAATTTAGAAAACATAGAAGTGCTCATGCGTACCAGCAGCCATTTTTAGTAAGGGAAACAATTGCAGTGAAGTCAAAATAGGGGAGAGAGTGACAGRGAAAATGGTTCAGTGATTTGACAAATGGAAATGACATGGGACACGTGATTCAACATGCATGGCTTAAATCTCTCACTGTGACAGGCTTAAGTGAGGAAGACAAGAGCTATTCTGGACCCATCTGTGGCAGCAGACTTCTACTTCTCCAACCAGAAGTCATTGCCCTCACACATCTGCCCATGGAATTAACCTCAGTGTCCCCTAGACACCACTGCAAAGTAAGTAGGGCAATAATTAATTTGCTATTTCAGCAACAGATCTGGTCTTGCTATTTTGATTAGCACAGTTCAGGCTGCATAGACTGGCCCTTCCATCAAGATTGCAGGAATCTCTCCTACAATCGTCCTGTTGTCTTCTTCTGGTTCAGTGCACTGACTGACACCATGATTTACTGTCAAGCATTTGATCAAAGGCTCCGCATGAAGCTTGAARAGATGCTCATCTGATGTGTTATAATGGTTACCTGTTTATTTGCCAGCATGTAATTTTCAGCATGAACTGAAAGATTYTACTGTCAACTCCTATAAAGAATCTAAACCCAGGATGAACAAGAAGCTGGATTAATAGGACTTAGCTGCTGAATGGAAATTCAAAGTAAATTATCTCAATCACCAGAAGCTGCAAGCTGGACTTTGTGGATGCAACTCCCATTGCTGGCAACCAATTTATGACAATTCTGACAGTCAGGAGCACCAAAGGAAGAGCTACAGCCTCAACATGATTTGCAGCAGCGTGTTGTTCTTGCTCATCATCATCACATGGTTCCCGCTATGAATGAGAAGGTGAACATTTTGTTCCTTTCCCCAAATACCCGAAACACAGTACAAAAAAAGAGTTTGTGAGAGACCTAGATATTTGATCTTTACATTTTTGGGTGTCTAGAGAACACTAGGTATAACTTCCCTGTGTATGTCTCAGTTTTAAGGGGCTGCTGAAGAAACCACTCAATTTCTACTCAAGATCTCTCTGTAGCTGAAAAAAAAACCCAAACAACAAAACCTTCCCCAGCCTGCTCCAAAAGAAACCCCACAACCCAAACCAAAACTTCCAAAACCTCCCCAAAACTGAACATGAATCAAAAATCCCCAACTAAGCCACACAGGTCACACCCTTCAAACAATCAGCTTCTTATCCTCCCCTGAAAATGGTGGTATTTTCAAAAAAGAGAAACTTAATCTGCCTCTATATCATTTGAAATTAGGAAACAAAAGAAGCCCAACTCTTAAGCCAGCTCTTAAATTGTTTTTTTTCCATCTCACACAAACAATAAATAATTAAGAAGAATATTCCCATAAGTGCATAGATTAATGCTTACCAAATCTCCTTAATTATTACAGCAATTTGTGAACTAAAACCTAAGTGCAATAAAGAATGAATCTGAAACTGCTGCATGTTTGCATGTATTCATTATGCACATCACCATATGTCAGACGGAATCTCTGAAGGTGAATCTCAAACAAGTGATTACCACTGAAGCAACATGATGGAGAATAAAGTAGACAAGTGATATATTTAGCTTCATCCTCTCTTTGTCCCTAGAGGAAAGCATTCCCCCTAGTGTGGGAAGGGGAAGGGGGGGGGGGGGAAGCCTAGAAAATTAAAAATGTTTTTCCCCAACACTAATGACCCACTTTAAACAGTCTTATGTAACTCAAAAATGAGATTATATTTGTGTTGTCATGGAGTTACTCTTGTATTTTTCAATCTGAATCATATCAAAAGGTTATTTACCTCACCTGCCCACCACAGTTTTCTGAACTTTCTCCGTTTAAGAAATCTGGTCCCTCTTCAGCTTTTCAAATCAATTAAACTTAAAAAAAGGGCAAGCCTGGTGAAGTAATTCTGCACTTGTCTGAACTGTACAAGGTTTATACAATCYAAAGCTATGTAATTATGTTAAATACCTTCTACCTTCTTCTTAAATTTTCACCAGTCCTGGAATTCCCCCACGTGTTCTCCTCAGCAAGTTCTCAAGCGTGCACACTGAGCTTTTCCCCCTGCAGTGCTGGGAACACAAGTCAGTTCTTAGAACACATGGTTTAAAGTGAAGTGCTGTCATTAAATGAAATGGTTTTCCAAAAACAAGCTGAAACAGGTCCACTYTGGTAAGTGTTCTCTAAAAAGGTCACATAAGACTTAGCATTTACAAATCTCTTTGCCACTCATAGTTCGATGGATGGAAGAGGAAAAAAGAGTTCCTTCTAGCACAAAATCTTGCTGTGTATACCAACTAAAAGCTCCTTCACACACTAGATGGACATTAATATAAATTGAAAACACCACATATATACAACAAAATAAGGATATATTTGTCAAACATTGTCGGAATAACAGGGATAAGACCTACAAGGCAGTTAAGTCAGATTTCCAAGGTCCACTCAAAAACATTAGGTTAGTGTTTAGGTTAGCTCTCCTGTGTTTCAACAATACAAACACACTAGAAACAGTATAAACATCAAGGCTTCCTTCCTTCTTCCCCAAACAAAATCTCTAAAACATACCTACTAAACAGCCTCCTAAACACAAATGATTTCCAGAACCAGAAAGGAAATTCAACAAGCAATATTGTCTGTCTCTAGAATGGTGACAGCAATATCTGTGCATTTTGATCTAGAGAGGTTCTTCCTTACAGTCACATTCACATTAGTTAGGTAAATGTACAAGACATAAAATAAACCCACAGACAAGAATACTAATCTGTATATAGGTACCAAAAYCCCTCTACTTTCAGACAACCTATTTGAAAATTATTACAATCCRGCAGTTAATGTAAATGCACAAAGCTGCCAAAAAGATCACTTACAGCTCTGAGCCGAATGTAAATGATCTTGAAACAGTACTGYAGTACCAGCAGAGAAGAAAACAGAGACCACTTTACTGACACTATCACAGATGAATGGATTTCTTTACTGTTTAGTCAAACCTAATGAAGAGAAAAAGACAGGCAGAGACAGAGGAATAAATTTTCTAATATTACAAAAACACTCATTCCTTTCAACTCACTGGGGAAAAGYGCTGGCAAACACATCTTAAAAGTTGATACAAAAAGCCTTTCTCTTTTAAACTCTGTATCACTGGGCTACATTGATTTATCTTTGTACCAGCCAGGATTTGACAGATAACCTGCAAATAACTATTTAAAGCATTATCTTAGCACATTCCAACATCCTGAGCAGCCCATTTGCTCTGTAAGCTACAACCACGAGGATCTGACAGACTGTCCTACCATGGTATCCTATCTCAGCCTCACACCTGTGTTCCACTGCCTGAAATGGATAAATGTGTATTCGTGCCATGTGCAGGCAGAGGACATCAGTGGCTCTACTGYAGGGGGAACACCCCAAAACCCAAYAGCAGWCACTTCAGCAGTGRCTGGAAGTGCTCAAGGCCAGGTTGGATGGGGTTCTGAGCAACCTGGGGTAGTGGAAGGTGACCCTGCCCATGACAGGGGCTGGAATGAGATAAGCTGTAMGATCCCTTCCAACMCAAACCATTCAGTGATTCTGTGATTAATTCTATTGTTAGGTCTGGTCTTAAAGAGAAGAACAGWGCAAGCTACTAGCCTGAAAAAAGAAAGAATAATTTTTTTTTTTCAATAACATTTTCCTCTGTATTTCAGAGGAATATGATACTGCTTTCTGCAGCTTTTATCACTTAACAGCTTCCAACTTGTGCTGTTACTTTAACAATGAGAAAAGTCGTATCCTACAGKTTGGACTCAACATATGACTTGAGGTTCAGGTCTCCAAGAAGCAGCTTAATTACAAAACGACAATAATTAGCATGGATTTACCAGACATTTCAGAAGACAGAATTTTAAAAGTTGTCTAAATTAATATTTATTTGCTGCCTTGCTCTGTCCAGCTTTCCCTCATTCTAACAGACCACTGAAACAACATGAAGTATCAAACTTACATTTTCTCCACAACATTTTCATTTTTTTTATCCTGAATAGCTTTTTTTGGGTGATATAATGATAGCCTTAGATAAGATTCCGACACAAACATTTAGAATAAACAAGCCAAATATGCTATTCCAATAAAATAGTAATATAGTAGCAAAAATATGGAATGTAATTCTGGTGCAAATAATCCCAAGAGGAAAAAAACCTGCAGACCAGGACAAAGTACTGGACACTCATGGATTACCCAGTTTTTCAATGTGCTGCTTTCATTTTCTGTGGATTCAGAAAAMGGGCAGGGAGTCAGACCTTCAGTAAAAACACCCTCCATCATTACAGACATCTTGAGGTCACCTGAAAAAGCCTAATCAGAAATAAAACCAAGAAAGAGGATCTGTGTAAAAGAGGTATTGTTGTGACAAAGAAAAAGATGCAAGATCAACTGGCCTTCTGAAGGCATGAAATCAAGGCTTGAAATCATCGGTTTTCATAAAAAGGTAATAAATAAAGCAACCCAACAGGAAGGTACAAGATKAACTAGAATCTATCATCAGCTGCTTATAACAAAGATTCAGCACAACTGCACATATACCACTGAGAGACCTCATCAACTCTGACCTAACTGTACAGAAAAAAAAAAAATCCATCCAGGCTTGTTGGGTGGGTGGAGCAGGATGAGGGGYTCTCTTTTAGTCCAATTCATGAAATCAAGGAGTACACTAAATAGGGACATTTCCTAATTGATTTAGTAAAAAATTACGTTAGAGAAACTGAAAAGAATTTCTGAAGTACACTTTGTGGGATGGGAGGTAAAGCTTACGTTTAATGTGTGTTACAAAATTTCAAGTCATATGGTGAAATCTCATCCCTGAAGATGAAATGTTTGGAGCAAAATGACAAGAGTCATTCAGAAATCTGGGTTAAGATGGAAATTATGCTTTTCTGGCAAGCACAGCAGAGAATACAGAAAGCCCTCCTCACACATAACTGAATCCCGCTTGAACAACAGCTAAAAAAAATCACACCACCAAATCCAAATTATACATACTTAGAATTGAAAGATTCCCAAGACATTCTAAATAAATTTTAATAAAGGAAATGAAGACCTGACTACCATAATAAACCGGACAAAGATTAACAGTGCACTGAGGCACACACAACACAAGTGAGAACATATTAGCAAAAAAACCCCAGAAGTATAATAAYATTTGACAGATTTCTTTCTCTGTTYACCAAATGCAAGGATGACAGAGTTGGTCAGTACAAAATAAAAAATGAAAAGGTTTTAACTGTACAATTTTGTGGCCTGTAAAAACATCTTTATCGTGAGTACTAGACTTGATCCCTGTAGTGCAAGCAAGGTAGACACTGTAAGATTCCTACAGTAATTTCTGCCAAACTACAAYGCTACATCAGCAGCCTTTTTAATTAAATGTCACATCTGAGTTAAAGAATAAGGTGGGTGGCATAGTTAAAAATATTCTGTAGCTTGTCAGAGGGCAAGAGAACACCTTCATTAAAAAACKCTTTTSATAAYACACACCCAAAATCAATAGTGTGAAATCTGAGTTGTTTATCAGGAATTTATACAGTGAGGAGGCTTTTAAAATTATTTTAAATTTGGATAAACAAACATAAAAATGTGTATTGATAGTAGGCAATGGAGTTCAAGTTCGGCATAACCACCAGGARCAATACTCAAGGGTAGAACAGACTTAAGGTACAAACAACAGCGTCAATAGAGCCCAAGACAATTCTAACAAACCAGAGTACTAGCTGTGGTTGAGAAGTATATATGTGTATATATATATATATATGTATATATATACATATATATATATATATATATATATATATGAAGTATCCTTCAAGTATATGACATAAACAAAACTTGCACTCAAATGTAGGGGTAAAAAAGACTACTGCTAATTAACATTTTTTTAAACCCCAAATAATGAGAAAATAGATTCTTCAGATCTCTAACCCCCTTCTTAAGCCTAAAAAATGCAAAATTGATGTAGAATAGTTTTCCACATGCATTTGACCTATAATACTATTTTTCGAGTACAGCATTCTTTAAAATGAATCTTTTTTTCCATTCATAAGGCTCACAGTTTTCTTTGCTCTAGATGTGGCCTCATACATGCCAATATCTCAGTATGCAAGAAAGTGTTCTAGACATGCTTTAAGTAACTTAACAGTGGCACTCTGTAACATTACACAGTGCAAAAGCTATGCAACTGGTGCGTATGGAAAATACGGTGCCAGGAAATGAATCAAGGTACAAGGACTTGAATAGAAGCTGAACAGAAGCTAAACCTGTTACAAGCTTTTGCTCTGTATCAGCCAGTACAGCCCTCAAAGGGAAGTCTAAGTGCACACTTGGGCCTCATTGTGCTGGTTTCAGTGTACAGAGCCAGAGGTTTAAATAGCATCAACTCAAAAAGAGCTTAAGTAAACTGCAATGTGCCTTTTACACCAGCACGGAACTTCACCCACTGCGGTTAAACTCTCCTTACAACCCTCTAAAGACCTGGTTCTTTCACCACGGAGCCGGGACAACACTGAATCCCTGCTGTAACAAACTGCTCGTGTATCCAACATTCAGGAGCCAGCTTGGATCAACCACTGAACACGAATTCCAAATTTCCAGTTGTAAAGTGTTGTTTCCACAGAAAGTCATCTGAGCTGCAAGGACACAGCAATTTGTAATGCACACCAACCCCCTGAGCATCTTCCAGCTTGAAGCCCCCTCCTTGCTCCCTCAAATATTCTCTAACTGACCTTGGGGAGAATTTTGCTATGATAGGTCAAGTGAAAGTTACCGCAACCTGTTCCTCAAAGGAATCATGAACAGTCCCATTGAGTTATCAATCCAGAACCCAAGGAAAGTCACCTCAGGGTCACTCAAAGACTTCACAAAGATCAACAACTGGGGCCAAAACCTGGTTATGGTATCATTAAGCTGCCTCAGAGGCCTCAAAGCACCACAATGTAGATTCAGTCACACATCAAATCACTTTGTGAAACCAAACACCCCTGCAACTCGGTTTCATTTCTCACATCATTAACATAGTCAGAATTTTTTATTTTACTGATTATACAATT